CTGCCGTTACAAAGCGCCGCAGGCAAATTTTTTTTGAAGTTTTGCGTACAAGAGTTCATCTGAATAAGTATTCATTGGCTTATTTTACGACCTTAACAATAAGATTGAGGCAAAAAGGGCTAAATTCTCTCTAAGGCTAAAAAGAATCTTTTTAAAAGAGAGCTTTTGGTTTTCGCAAAAAGAGAGGAATTCTCGTGGCAACAAAAAGTGCTAAATTCCTTTCAAACCCTTAAAATGCCGCAAAATGTGGGATCAACCAAAGTTGCTGGCACCTTATTAAAATGGACAGATCTAGTTTCTAGCGGTTTCGGCTTGCAAATAATTTCTGCATTATGATCTATTTACACTTTCTTGAAATTAAACTGTGGACCTGACCTGTGAAATGGGATGGTACCGAGTTTATTAAGATTTTAAATAGCCAGCAATTTTTTGTTGTTCCCGCATTTTGTGGCATTTTAAGGTTTGAAAGGAATTTAGCACTTTTTGTTGCCACGAGAATTCCTCTCTTTTTGCGAAAACCAAAAGCTCTCTTTTAAAAAGACTCTTTTTTTAGCCTTAGAGATTACTTATGACTTGCCAAACCCTTTAAAATCGCCAGCGCAAAAATCCCTAATTTTCATTGGCTCCATGGCGATTTTTTTACTTTCCAATCCCTTGAATCGGTTGAATCTTGAAAAACTACATTCACCGTTATTTTTCGCCTTAAAAATACTACATTAAAAATGCAAATTTCTGTTATACTATCAATGTCAATTTATGCCTTGTCAATTCCTTTTAAAAAATTGGCAACACGTTAGTAAAGCATTCGCTTTCAAAAATTGTTTAAAGACTCCCTTGCTAACCCCTTTAAAACTGCCACCCAAAAATATCTAATTTGCATAAATTTTTATCACGATTTATGCCGTGCCAATCCCTTTAAAACAAGGCCATCTTAACAAAACCCCAAAATTACCCAAAATCTCTAAAAGTTTATGGCTTTCCATGCCCTTTTCGACGTTTTTTGACTTCACTATCCCTTTGGAAGCTGATATTTTTCGGTTTTCCGCTTGCCAAATTGCCTCTGCTCGCCTGCCGCTCTAGATACCATCACTTTAAAGGCACCAGGAAGTCAAGGTGGAATTTTGAGCTCTTGCTCGGTTGACGCCGGTCCATAAAAAGACCCGGAAAGGTTATCCTCATCCCCCGCGACAAATATTTGCCAATTGGACCCCGGGTGTCTCGGATTACCACTTTGGATTGTTGGTGCTCAGCATTCAGGGCGATATTTGAGTCCGAGTAGACAAAAAATAGGAAGAAAAACGGTTTAAAACAACTGAGAACGATCAATGTTAAAAAATCCGCGTGGTCTAGTGGTTAGTGTCTTTGACTATGAAGCTAGGGGTCAGGGGTTCGAACCCAGCCGGGCGAATTTTTTGATTTTTGGATTTTGAATAATTTTTCGACTAATTTTCGTCAATTTTCAGACGGTGAAATGGCTAGGGCACTAGACTATCGAGCCACGGGTCAAGGGTTCGAGGCCCAGGTGCCGAATCTTTTTTGCTTTTTGGATAAACCCTTTACAAACTATTTTTGCGTTTTTCCTATGGTCAAGTGGTTAGCGCGTTGGGACGCCGATTTTGGGTCCAGGGTTCGAATCCCCAACACAGAAATTTTTTATTTTTTATTTCCGTATAATTTTAAACCATTTTTGCCATTTTCCGGCCGGGGTTCAGTCAAGTGTTTGACCCTATCAAAAGCCGACTGTCGAGGGGAGTGTGGTGTGGTTAAGTGGGGGATCAACAAAACGGGTGGGGGGCATGGCAAAAAGGGCCAAATATTGGGACCCAGCCAGCCGGTGGCCCCCCACCAATTGCAAATACAGAATCCGGGGGCGCAGAAAAACCTGAGGTGGGTGTCAGTAGGTGTAAGGAGTACTACAACAGTCGCGATTGTGTACCAACAAATAATGGCCAGCCGAGGCGTTTCAATGGCAAAAGCCGGGTCGGGGGTGCTGGGGGCGCCTTATAAGGAATTCACTACGTTGCGTCTAGCTTTTCCGGAAGTGTGCTATAGACGTATTACTGTAATTTTTTACCTTTCTTCCTTTCCAGCAAAAACCTGTCTTCTAAAACGTTCTTAAAAGACCTCTGCTAGCTGGCCATCTCTCGCTTCAATGGTCCTTTAAAAGCGCCCTGAAAGGACTTCTGACTTCTCTCTCTCTCTCTCTGCTCTCTCTCTCTCCCTTCACTGGTTCTTTAAAATGTTCCTAAAAAGCTCTGCAGGCCTGCCCTCAATTGCCTTCAATGGCCCTTTAAAACGTTCCTAAAAGTCCCCTGCTAGCATGCCTTCCCTTGCCTTCATGGTCGTTTAACAAGCTCCTAAAAAATCCCTGCTAGCCTGTCCTACCTCGCTTCAATGGCCCTTTAAAAACTTCCTAAAAGATCGCTGCTAGCTTGCTCTCTCGCTCTCTTGCTTCCGCGTTCCTTTAAAACGCTCCTAAATGCTAGCTGCTGTTTGCCTTATCAGGTCTTCAATCGCCCTTTAAGATGCTCCTCAAAGATCTCTGCTAGCCCGCCTTCCCTTGTCTTCAGCGGTCCATTAAAACGCTCCTAAAAGTTCCCTGCTAGCTTGCCATCTCTAGCTTCAAGGGCCCTTTAAGACGATCCCAAAAGAACTCCCCTAGCTTGGAATCTCTGGCTTAAATGACCTAATCCAATTTTTAGCCGATTTTTTTGGGTTTCTCAGTCCCTTTAAAAACTTAGACTTTTTTGCCTTGCCGGTCCCTTTAAACGGCCCTTGCCTCGCGATTCAAGCCAATCTGCCATCAGATAGGGCCATCTCACACGTGGGGGATGGGTGTGATGGTGGAATCGGACGTGTATGCACGTCAGTTCCGGCCCGATCAACCCATCGCGCGAAGGGGAGGGGACACGTCTTCGAATTGGACAGCTTATCCCCCTTCTCTCCCTCTCTTCTCTTACGCAATCCCCCCCCCCGCTATTGGCATATCACACCTCTGCAAAAAGTGGCATCAATCGATTATCGATCTCTTTTAATTCACTTTCGAGATTTGCCTTTAGTTTTGACTTTAATGGCCCTTTAAAGTCTGATTTTTCTCTACTTTATTGCAAAATTCGCCTTCAATGTTCCTTTAGGAAAGAAGGGCTCTAGAGTAAGGCTAGCAGTAATTCTTTTGGAAGCTTTTCCTTCAAGATCCCTTTAAAATCGACAGTTTTTTGCCTTCAATGGTCCTTTAAAATTGGATACACCGTGGATTTTTGCATTTACGGTGTCTTTAATCCGCAAACTTTGGGTTTAATGGCTTTAAAATCCATAGGTGGACGCCTTCTCATTGCCTTTAAAGCCATAGATCTCTGCCTTCAACGTCTCTTTAAGTCCAGAGATCTCTGCCTTCAATGGTCCTTTAAAATCGGCTCCATTTTCCCACCTCCGATCCGATCCGGACCTCAAAAATCCGCCCCATTTCCGGGACGCTCCTATAGCCAGGGGGCAAATAGCGGAGCGTGGGAATTGGTCATCAACTGGACACGGCTATAGATGGAGAGAGAGAGTGTGAGAGTGATAGAGAGAAAGAGAGAAAGAGAGAGACGCGGATCTGATTCAGAAGAGGATTCGCGATTCTGACTCGAAATTCTGCAAGAAAAGAAGACGTTCCCCCTCCATATCTCTCGTTTTCTACTAAAGGGAGTGCCCTCCGATTCCACGGCTTCAAAAACCCTCTTCCCTCTCCCCGATCCTCCATTTGATTGTCCACAAGATCATCTTCTTCCCGCCCGTCCGCCTGAGCCATTCACACCCCCTCCCTCCCTTCCCTCACTTCCCTTTCCCACCCCTTTAATTCCACCCCGTACTCCATTTCCCGGTCGAATTGGCAGCTTTCCAAAGGTCTGCAGTGAAATCCTTTTAAGTCGGTAGATTTTAGCCATTTTTGGGTATGGCTCAGCCGGTAGGATGCTAGTCTCTTGATCTGTGGGTCGAGGTTCGGATCCCGGGTGTGCGGAATTTTTTGCTTTTTCCTAGAAGCGCTTTTAAGGGTAGGTAATTGCTGAGAAGGAATCGTAGAAGTAAAAACTTTCAAAAAACAACCCGAAAATGCGTTTTAAAGGGGCCGCGAAGTCAGAAATTTATTTCTGTCTATTTTGCTTATTCTTCTAAAATGGAGTAACATATCTCTGCTAGCTTGCTTTCAACCTTCACAACCATAAAAATTGTTCAAAATTGATACTTTTCTGAATTGTATCCCAAAAATGGCAATTCTGCCTAAATTCCCCAAGGATCTCTGCTAGCCTCCCCCACCCGTAATCCAGCCATTATATCTATTTTTAAGAATGGGATAAACGTAGGAATTCAGCGAGGATTACAATTTCATGGTCGACTCGTTCTCAAGGCATCTCAGCTATGCCAAAAAACCAGTCGTGAGAAACCTCTTCTCCCACCTCGTATGCCTATTATTATCAGCCCCCACCCTGCAACTTGACAATATCAACTTTTTATGCTTAAAAAAATGATTTTTTTTGTGTTTTGAAAGGGATGGGCAAGTGAAAAGAGGCCAAGAAAAATCTTTGTCTTTGCCAAAGAATCTTTGCTAGTTTCCCTTCAATGGCTCAAAAAATTTCGAAAATTCTTCATTGATCTTTGCTAGCCTGCCTTCCATCCAGAAAAAAAAATTGGAGAATTTCTCAATAAACTCTGCTAGCCTGCCTTTTCGTGTTCATTATTTCCAAAAATTTCTGTTGAATCTGTGCTAGCTTTCCCCTTGATTGATCGCTGAAATCTCCCGAATTCCTAAAGAATCTTTGCTAGTACGCCTTCCATATAAAATTTCCATTTTTTCTCTATTTCTCGGGCTCTCACTAAATCCTCCTTCTCCAGCCATCCAACTAAACCGCACCTACCCTACCGTATCCCCGCAGTGGCCCCCGATTCCGTGGCGCTACTGTGGACAGTTGCTCAGAGCGGGCGGAAAGATGCGGATATAACTGCCTTTCCAATAAAATATTATGGTCTCCGAGTTGGATCTGATCAACGTCTGCAATATACTCGTCAATATTAAGGTATAATTGCAAAACGCAAAACGAAAAACGAAAGACGGCGGGAGGGATCGAACTGGGGTAGTCAGATTCAGGGGTCAAAAACTTTACCAATGGGCTATGGGTCGCATGGACCAATTTCGCGTTGAAAAGGTATAGCGATATGTTTAAAAGCCAAAAAGCAAAAAGAAAACCCCGTAAAACGGCGGAAAGAATTGAACCCGAGTGGCTAGCCCATAAGGTGGAGAGCTTTACCAATTGGCTATGGAACTATGGCTCGATTTACCATTTTAATCGAAGAGGTACAGATTCAAATAACAAAAAGCAAAAAATAAAACTCGAAAAACGCCGGAAAGAATTGAACCCGGGTAATTAGATTCAACGATCCAGAGCTTTACCAATAAGCTATGATTTTATCGATCTCAATAGTGCTTTTTCAGCTTCTGAATGGTGTTTGCCCGCAGAGTCCGTGCACAGGATGTCAACAATTCGCCCCGCCACAGGTCCGTTTTAAAGGGATTGGGAACTCTGGGAGTTGATGCATTAATGGTAGGCTTATGAAGAAACATATATTCGATTCCTCAACGATCTGTTCTAGCTGTATTCAGTTCCTAAATAATCTCTGCTAGACTGCTGGGAAAGCTTTCCTAAATCATCCCTGCTAGCTCCATAGTTTTCTTTTAAATTTACCGTAAAGCCTGAATTTTGGCGAATTAATGGTAGGCATATGGTGAAATCCTAATATACCCGAATCCCCAATGATCTCTGCTAGCTTTTCGGAGGGCGGTCTTCCTAAATGATCTCTGCTAACTACCCAGAGCCAAATTTAAAGGGACTGGGAAGTCTCAATTTCTGCATTGCTGGAAGGTCAAAAATACAAGAATGGAAATTGCTTAAAATCTCAAATAAACTCTGCTAGTTTGCCTTGAATTGCCTTTAAAAAAAGGCTAAAAATCCCCAACAACCTCTGCCAGCTCGCCAAATTCCTCAAGAATCACCGCTACCCACCCAGACTCGTGAAAAATTGATCAAACATTCCCCAATAATCCCTGCCAGCCTACCCTTCCTTTTTCAGTCAGTCGTGCTGACCTTGCCCGTCCCCCAGAATCGCCTTCCGGCATCAATGATGGCCCAGGCGACCGGGTAAGTGAATGATTTCTGGCTTGCTTAGCCCTTTAAAGGGACAGACACGTCACGACTATGGACAAAATCCATATTCATAGCCAAGCCTTGAGTGTTCCTTTAAACTACCGTAACCGCCGTCCATTTCAGCCCATGCTGTCAAAATGGCGTCCAGAGTATGCAGTGGACACTCAATCAGCCCGCGTGGAATTCGAATGGTGAGGAAAATAGGTTTTAAACGTAATTAAAAATAAAAATGCATGTTTAAAAAAATAAGATTTTTGTCTTTTAAAGGGATGGCGACAGTACCACTTAGAAAAGCTAGCTTTAAAAAGCTTTAAAAAATCCAAAAATGACAATTCCAGGCGCTCCGGGCCCAATCCCCACCGGCCAGGTCAACTACCAGAATGCCATCTACGCTCAGGTACGATCGGCTACAAACCACAGTATGGTATGCACACGATTTAGGGAACGACACCGACAACCCCACGACCAGTTACGAGGCCATATGAGGTTAGGATTATTGCAGAATACTGTTAAATTATCGTAATCCAGAAATTTCGCAAGAATCCCTGCTAGCTTGCCCTGCGATATAGATGTGCTTTTGGTGCTTATGCGCTATCGGGGGGGGGGGGAGTTTATCACCTACAAAAGCTGACAAATTTTGATTAGAAAAACACAAAAGTATCGATTTTCGAGCAAAACATCGAATTTTTGTAAAAAATTTTAGTTTTTTGAAAGTTTTTACTTTCAATATCGGTGCATTTTATTAAAAGCCACTAAAATCACTTACTATTATCTTACTAGCGGTTTCTGAGCTTATAGGAAAACGCTAGTCCCCCCCCCCCCGATAATGCCCAAGCCCCAATTCCCCAATAATCCCTGCTATTTTGCGCTAAAAATCACGCTTTTCCAGCCACAATACACTTCCGGCTCCCCACAAGGCGACTACAACTACAATAACCTCAATGGAGCAACACCAAGCCCCGGTTACAGTACCCCAGCCGGGTCCTACAACGGTCAGAATCCAAACTACGGCCAGACACCCGGCCCTGGACAACCTGGATATAATGCGGCCAATTACGGTGGGTTACGGTGGATGGGTCGGATTTTAGCAACGTGCATTAATGGGAGAGCAAAACATGGTCTTTGCTGGCTTGCACTGATCTTGAAAATTCCCAAAGAATCTCTGCTAGTTTGCCTCTACTTCCCAAAAATCGCTTAAAGGTCTCAAATAAGCTCTGCCAGCTTGCCCAAAAATTCCCATTTTTCAGGCTACAGTACCCCATCCCCGCTAAACAACGGTGGCTACAACACAGGAAACCAGGGCTACAGTACCCCAGGACCAGCCCAGAATGGATATAACGCGAACAACCAAGGATACAGTAGCCCTGGCGTCAATCCGGGAGGATACAATGACGGAAATCCGGGCTACAGTACACCCCTGCCGGGACAGAATGGATATAACAATGGAAATCAAGGATACAGTACTCCGGGTGTGCCGCAGGGAGGATATAATGCGGCGAATGAGGGATACGGTAACCAGGGCAATGGATATAATGGACTGAATGCTGGAGGACAGAGTGGATATAATGGAGCGAATGCTGGATATGATGGACAGGTGGGTGGAGAATGAAAGAGAGAGAGAGAGAGAGGGTGAGAGAGAGGAAGGCAGAAAGCGAGAGAGACAGAGACAGACAGAGAGACAGACAGAGAGCGAAAAAGAGGGAGAGAGACAGAGTGGATAAGAGAGAGCGAGAGACGCAGAGACATCGAGAGAGAGAGAGCGCGCTCGAGTGGTAGAGAGCTAGAGTGGGTTAGACAGAGTGTGAGAGAAACAGAGAGAGAGAGGCAGCGAGAGACATAGAAAAAGCTAAAAAATTAACTTTTAAAGGACCTTTGAAGTAGAGTTGTTATAACTCAAACAAAACAAGGCCTCAAACAAGCTTGTTTGAACAATGTTGTTTGATATGGATTTTGGAGATTCAAATCAAACATGTTTTGTTTGAGATGACCGTTGACCGCTCAAACAAAACAAGATTGTTTGAACTATTTGAGCAGTTTGAGTTTTGTTTGACCTTGTTTGAAATGTATGCTTATTTTGGATTTAAAGCGTGTGTTTTTAGTATTTTCGCAATTAGCATAAATTTTTTCCGGTGAAATTTGTTTTTGAATGTTTGAATCCACTTCCGGTCCAGCAAAAAATCCCCAAAAATCTCGCAGTTCAGGGTGCTCAAACAAGTTCAAACAACTCAAACAATCTTGTTTGATTTGATCCCCTGGAACTCAAATCAAACAAGATTGTTTTGTTTGAAACTCTTCGAGCTCAAACAAAGCAAACTTGTTTGAGTTGTTTGAATAATTTGTTGTTTGTTGTTTGAGTTATAACAACTCTACTTTGAAGTCATGGATTTTTTTAGAACCCGAACGACGGCGAGTACACGAGCAGCTTCGAAGGCACTTTTGTGGGCCCGGCAAATGGACAACCAAATGGACAAGGTATGCTAATTTCTGGGCTCCAAACTACGAACTGCATCCCAGGAAACCCCCAGCAACAACTTGGCTACAACGAGCTGAACGCCGGAAATCAACAACAAATCGGAGGACAACAACCGAATGGACAGGTGGGCGAGAGAATGAGAGAGCGAAAGAGAGAGAGAGATAGAGAGAGAGAGAAATATGCAAATCACCTTTAAAACTACCTGTATAGTCAGCTAATTTTTAGCCAATCCTCTACCCCGCCCCTGAATTCAACCAACCCGGCCAACAAGGCCAACAGGTACAATTTGCATAAAAATAAAAAGTTGGTAAATTTATAAATTCCCATTCTATTTCAGCCCATCCATCGAGCCAAATTTTCCGTAAATCGAAATTTTTTGAAAACGTTGTACCTTTGATTTTTGTGGCTTTTCGTCGCTGCATAGATTGGCTTACTGTAACGCTCACTTCACTGTCCCTTTAAATCGCAAAAATGACCTTCAGGTAAATGCGGGTGGCGTCTATCAGGGATCGGCAAATGGGCAGCCAAATGGAAATGGGCAATATATGGATCAGGTAGAGAGGGAGAAAGAGAGAGCGAGAGAGAGAGAGAGAGAGCGAGAGAGAGCTAGAAAACCTCTTAATTCCCCTTTTCCAGACCCAATCCCCCTACAACTACAATACCGTACACCCGAACAGCGGCTACGATGCCAGTGCCCAGTATCCGGTCACCGGAACGGCAGCTGGAAACGGACAATCCAGCCCGACGGCATTCCAGTACACTACTCCCTACAACCCGAATAATCAGGTAAATCGATACATCCAGCTAATTAAAAATTTAAAACTCTCAAAAACACTATTTTTTAAGAATCAACAATTCACCACCGCCTCGCCTTCGCAGTTCAACGATCCCCAGGTGACTTTATGGTTTCGATATGCAAAAATGAAGCCCCTGAACAAAAAGCAAAAAGTTTGGCGCGGCTGGGGGTCGAACCCGGGTATTGCGATTGAGAAGTGGCTCCTCTACCGATTGAGCCATGAGAACAGGACCCGAATGGCGATAAAGCTTTTGGGTCCCATGGCCGAATGGTTCAGATCCGTGACTAGTAAGCAAAGGGGCCAAGGGTTCGATTCTCGCGCACGGCAAACTTTTTGCTTTTTGCTTCCTCTAGTCCTATAGACGATCCCCAACCCGATTTTTCAGTACCAAACGACCTCAAACTCGAACTACGGTGGCGCTATCGCTGGGGGAGCCCTGGCTGGAGCAGCTGCTGGTGCTGGAGCCGGACTGTACGCTGGTGGACAGACAACGACACAGTACCCCTCATCTTCACGAACCACCGGAAGGCCCACGGTAAAATAAATTGATTACGATAGATTCAATAAATTAAATTAGACGGCTGGTTCCTCGGGACGGACAACGACTACGCAGTTCGGACAGGATCAGACTGGCCAATTCGTACAGGGGAATCAACGGACTACAAATAACGGACAAGGACGGTAAGTTTAATTCTAAGCCTAAGCCTAAGCCAAGCCTAAGTCTATTCCTAAGCCTTAGCCCAAGCCTAAGCCTAAGCCTTTCCAGCCCTTCCACCACCACCTTCCCCACCACCCCCACGACGTTCACGACTACGCAACGCTTCCCATCGACGCAGACTACGCAGGGATACCCACAGGTACGGTACCCAACCGTTAGCAGTAAGATATTGTACTCCAGACATCCTCATACAACAATCAACAGTTTGACACCCAGGGACAGGTTGGTGAATTAGGAATAAGTAGCACAGCGCAATTTCTCAAAGAATCTCGGCTAGCTCGCCTGTCTATCATTAATGCGTTTTAGCAGCAATTCTCTGATGGGCCCGCCCTTACTGCCAACCATGCCGATATGAATTATCAATATTCCAAGGTATGAGAGAGAGAGAGAGCGAGAGAGAGTGAAGAGAGAGCGAGAAAGAGAGAGAGAGACTCGAAAATTATCATGGTTCCTAGGGCGTAGACGGCGGCTCGACACTTGTCCCCCAAATGATGGGCTCCACCCAGCCGTACTCTCTGCAACAGGTTACACCATAAAATTCAACGAAAAATTGATTTCCAGACGCAACGCCAAAATACTGGTGCACCCGCTTCAACCAACGGAGGTGTCGGAACGGTGGGTAAACGGACAGTAAAGGCTAGCCGGGCTTAAAAGCCAAAAGGCAAGAAGTTTATCGTGGCCGGGAACCGAACCCCTGACCGTTAGACTGATAGACAAGGCTACTAACCACTATACCACCGAGAGTGGGGTCGTGATGGGGAAGGGAGGTCCAAAAAGGAAGCGCGCCCCTACCTTGGCCTCAGGGCAGTAAAATGGCCGCTTTTCCCCAAAATTTAATTATCTAGATTTGTCCGATTACGGTATGAAATCCATGGTTTCGGAAGAGCTAATCCATAAATAAACCAGTTTTTCTGTTTCCAGGGCACGAACAACCGCCTGTACGACCACGGCGACATGAACGCCCAGTACGGACAGTACGACACCACAAACACCGCCAACGGTAGGAGCCTAATGACAATTGGGGTATACTGTAATGCTGTCCTCTACCCCTAACGCTTCCTAAATAACAAAATGGCTATCGGAAATGGAAAGAAACATTGGCTTACCAGATTTTAACCCAAAATCAAACTCGAACCCGCAGATTTATCCATTTTTAGGGTAGAAAAATTAATTTTTACAATTTTTAAGCTTTCTAAATTATTCATAAAATGAATTGTGAATAAAAAAAGCCTAAAAACGTGTAAAGTTTAGATGAAAAAGCTACTTTTCCGATTTCAATAGCAAATCGAAAATTCAAAATCGAAAACTTCCTTTTCGATTTTTTCTAATTTTTCAATTTTCAAAATTTTACTTTGAAACTAAGCAAATACTATGTAAAAAATCTGACAAATGGGTACATTTAAACCCAAGAAACAGAATTTCGGCTCTTAAAACCAAAATTCCAAAAATTTCGGAATTTTTAAGTTGCTTTTCTTTCTAAAAATTAGCAAAAACTATGTATAACTGTTAAACACTAACAAAGCTCTAAAAAATCTTTAATCAAAAGGAAAAAAATTCAAAATAAAAATCTTGTATGCCAGCGTTTCTTTCAAATTTGAAGTTTGGCGTCTCCCAAATTGGATGGCTTTTGGGTGAATTGGTGGTAAAACCCTGGTGATTTGCATAGGTGATGGGACAATCGTGACAACTCGATCGACGAACGATACTGCCGCCCCAATCGCTGCAGGGACAGGTACGGTAGCGACAGGAGGTACCGTATCCCCAACGCTACGGGACCAGCCGAGCGCGCAGACGCAGCAGGCTGCACGATCAGGTGAATGCTGTGAGGGTGGTGGTGGGTGTGTGTCAAGGGGATTGGTGTGGAATCATGGAATTTAAAGGGACAGGCAAGGCATGGCTGTGGATTTTGGAGACTATGGATTTTCTTGGTGACTTACCGCGCCGCGATACGCAACGCACACGCACTGTTTTTTGTGTGTAAAGGATTATTATGCCCTCTGCACATCTATGCAAGGCGTATGCGTTGCGTGTTGCGTGTCGCGGTCGTCGTCGATCCATTGCATGGCGCGTCGCGGTCAGATCTGACGCGTTTGCGTCGCAGTTAGATCCAGCGCGTTGCGCGTATCGCGTCGCGCCGGAAAATCCATAACGAACAAAATCGATGCTTAGGCTTCCCGGTTCCTTTAGAGGTTGTCTAATGGAATTCCAGGGATTTGGTGTCTTGCCAAAAACGGCGCAAAATTAGGATTATAGTTTGTAGATTTCAAAAACCACTAATTCTACGCGAAAAACAAGCTTTAAAGGGGCCAGCAAGACAAAAAGTGCGAATTTCGTGCCAAAAACCGGCTTTAGAGGGGCCGGAAAGGCATAGCTATGGATTCCCTACGATTTTGCTCAAAAAATACGCAACGCGCCTGCTCCATTGCGTAATGGATTACGATCGGCCACGGTATAAACGGTGCGGCCATATTATGGCCAAAAAATCCATACAAGCCTTGCCGGTCCCTGAAACCCCCGAAAATACGATATATTTGATCGAAACACCAATTCTAAAGGTGCCGTTCCGGCAGGGCACGCGTCGCCTGTCGCGTCGCGGCTAGAAAACCCTAACAATCCTGTTTTTTAGCCGCGCAAACCGTTGCGACCGTGATGGCGACGCTGCTCTTCTTCTGCTACCTTTGAATATACACAGGGCTCCCATTAATGCGCCCACAAAAGTCCCGTCAGATCTCAAAGCCGGGCCCACCCGTGTGCAAATCAGCATCTACTTATCGTTTCCCTACTCTTTTTCTCATGCTCGTTTCACGCACTCTCTCGCTCCTCCGGTTCCACCGTACCCCCCTCGTCCTCATCAGCTCAACCCAACCTCCCCGTGTGTTTTTCTGTTGTTATTTGTACATTTGGAACTATCTACGCGCCTTTCACATCCAGAATAAAGTATTTTGTTTTGTGGAGAAAGAGATCCAGAGTTAACGAGAGAGCGATAGAGAAAGAGAGACAGAGAGAGAGAGAGAGAGAGAGAGAGAGAGAGCGCAAGAGAGAGAGAGCGAGAGAGCGAGAGAGAAAGAGAGTGAGATTCAGAACGAGAAAGAGAGAGAGAGAGCGAGAGAGAGAAAGAGAGAGAGAGAGAGAGAGAGAGAGAGAGAGAGAAGGATCGTTATACTACGGATTACAAACTACAAACCTCTCCATAAGACGCCAACTCGATGACCAGCCACATTGGCGACTCCATACAGACCCCAACCAGCGCCACGATATTCTCGTGCCGGAAACGCCGCATCAAATCTGAAATGAAATGCATTCCGGAGGCTCCGGACCCTCACTCCTCCCAAAAAGCTCAAACTCACGTGATTCCTGGAGTATCAACTGCGTATCGGCCGGCTCGTTCTCCAGCTTGCACACCTTGATGGCGACCGATTGCGTGGAGTGGCCCTAATGATCGAAAGATCTCCGGAAATCCGTTGTTAGCTTACCGGACTACAATACACTCCTTTGTACACGTTTCCGAATTGCCCGCCTCCGATCAGCTCCTTCAGGGTGACGTGCTCGCGTTTGATGCGCCGGTCCGAGACTGCAATCGGGTTTTCAGCGGTTTTACAGGCGGGCGACGGAGAGAGAGCTATGGAGATAGCGAGAGAGCGAGAGAGAGGGAGAGAGAGAGTACGAGCTTTTCTAGGTACAGGGAAATATTCACTATATTCTATTTGTACCATTATTAGAAGCGTTCCTCTCTTCTCGGCTCGTCACGGCCTTGGACGCCTTCAGCTCGATGCTATCGCATCTGTCGAGCCCTGAAGAATTTAGAGTTCTAATTCCTTAGCGGGGGGTAATGTGGGTAATCCAAGATCTTATTTTTTTTTCTAAGTTTTCGTGATCGGAAACTACTAAATACACTACAAAAACTACAGGGTGTCCCAAAAAAAACGACCCATCTGGCATTTCGCCGTGTTACATCCAATCGGTCCCATATTTGGACCAGAGGTCTATCAGACCCTAAATAACAACAATCCTGACTTACAGCCCCATAGCTACAGTAGTTTTAAAGTTATAACGAAAATACTGTTTTTCCCGGAATTCTGAACAGTTTTTTCGGCT